TTCCACGGATACTTGAAATTGATTGTTCACGATTAAAGCTTAGATTGAGATAAATAACCCGCTACGTAATTTTCTTTCATCTCTCGGGCTTTATTCCTCCAGTCCGAACGAGCGTGAGTCCCCGTACTTCGTTTGATCGCCGTTTTATCGTCGATCCTTATCTCTCCGCGCGACGTACGTCACCTGTGAGATCGCCGCCTCCCTCACCGGGCGAAAGCGGAATTGGGCAAACCGTCATGGATTTCTAACGAAGCGCGCGGCGGCCGGTGCATTTTCCTGCCGGTGATCGCGCAACCCGCCTTTCAAAATTAATCGGAGCCCCACGGCCGAGCCGAGGAAGAGCTTTCAAATTTCTTTCGCAACCGCAAATCTTGAGCAAGCCGCGGCGGCGACGGTGGCGACGGCGCCACCGCCCGAGCGTGCTTATTATATACCGGGCGTGCAATTAGTTACGGCCAAAGATTCTGGCCAATTACGTTAACCAGGTTGACTCGCGGTATCCAGAGCGCAAATGCGGCGGATTACGTTCCCTTAACGTTGCGCGCGCGGAACCGTCGGGCGCGACGCGAACAATGCGAGGTGAGAGTTACATACGCGCGTCCGCGTATATGCCGATCGGTCGATACTCGTGCACAGGGTGTTTCGTCGTTTCACTGACAGAGGTTTCGATTAAACCTCGCGGATTCAGTGTCGAGACCCGAGTCGACATTTTGGCACGGTGTTGCTTCAATTTCACAACATAGTAGGAGCTAAGATAACAAAACAGGCTTAATAATGTAACCTCGATTCGGACGACATCTTAAGTTTTCGCTACTTTAGCTGTTTAAACTCAGAATAGGTCGTTGAAGGTAGCGTGAAAATTCAATTAGCGGAAGTCGAGAGTTCGAGAGAGAGGTTGAAAAGTATTGGTATCGTCGAAATAGGTTTTTATTCATCTATAGGCCGTCTAAGTGGTCGCGGACTATCCTTAAGAGCGTCAGAGTGGCAACATTTAACCCGAATTATCGAAATTTCGATTCGGAGAAAGTTGTTTCGACAGAAACCCGACAGGAGTGATCTTCGGCCGTGCACTGATAAAAAAATTCGTTTCGACGCCAAACATATTTTATAGAGATAGCGGCATGCGTGTAAGGTTATTACGCACTCACGCTGTAGTAATACTTACTAGAGAAACGATTCTCTCGACTATGTTTAAAGGTCTATGTTTGGCGCCGAAATTAATTATAATTTTCAATCAGCGCGGATACTCGATCTCCCGCGAATAATGCACGAAATTTCCGTGGAAATACAGAGTTCATCGAATTAGGCGATCCGTGGGTTTACACACCGTTGGAGAGACGGTTGTCGCGTTCGTGTGGGTGCGACGCGCGTCATATGACGGCGGAAGGGGGGGAGGGGGGAGCCACCTTTGTCGGTCGAAGCGCGTCGCTTTTATTTTAATTGCCGGGCGGGAGCCGTGGCGATTCCATCGGATTCATCTCGCGTGTGAAGCGCGCAACCACCGTCGACTTTATGCCCTGAATGCTATGCGGTTCGCGGTTTTCTAGGATGATGCGTATCGCCCGCTTAAAAACGACACGGTCAAATCGTCGAGCTAATTGACTGGCGCTTTCGCGAGAATGTTCGCGCGTTCGCGAACGAGAACGCCGGCCCGTTTTGCATCCGCGAGGCAGCCGCTGGCCGGAGCTGCGTAATTAAATGTGCGGAGATAACGGGGATCTAATTACGTATAAATATTACCGATCGTGAGCCGCGCTCAGAAACCGCGTTCAAGCGCGATTATACATACGGACGCACCACGTGGTTGCGTCGCCCGTTCTCGGCGATATTCCCGCGTTGCCCGAGAAATGTCGATCTCAAGGACAAAGAGATCGCGCGCGCGGCGAACGAAAGGATCTCGGCGGTGGAAAAGGCGAGCCGTGCGAGAGACAGAGGGAATCCCGACGATAATTGCGCGCGCGCTCTCGCGCGACGTCGGAAAAGCGATCGCGCGGAATCGAAGCTCGCCCGCTCTTGCGCGATCCGCGACTATCCCATTAGGCGTCATTATTGTTGCGACAGGCGGCCGCGGATCGCTTTCGCAAGAGCGCCGCGCGAACTTCTACTCGCGCGCGCAGACGGCCTTGCCTTCTCGCATCGCGTACGTCGCCACCGTGCTCCACGTGTGGGTGTCACTTGCTTTCCCGCCTTGAAAAACCTTTCACTGTTTTGCACCTACATAGAGACGCGCGGTAGACGAAACGCGGCCGCGTGCCGTCGTCGTGAAGTCGGATCAATCCTAGGAGCGGTGTGACTCGTTTCGTAGAGCTTGCCGCACGCGTGCTTGCGTACGTGCGGATTCGCTCTTGCGGGAACGGGATATCACCGAGGGAAATCCTCCTAGTGAATTTATTCTCGGCCCCGACCGTGTCCTTTTCTGGTTTTGTCCCGGAAATCGAGAGAGCGCGTGTAAAATGGTTATTAGCGTTACCTGAATATTCCTCGGGATCTGTAATTGAGATCTTGGTCCGATTTTACGAAATAATGATTTTGGTTATAGTTCGGAAATCTATGTAGGTTTCGGTTGGAAGCGTAATGTTTGAAACATACGATTCCGAGTGGAAAACGTAAACAGATTCTGTTCGATCACGCGCAATCGTTTTCCCAATGATTTTATCTGCTTTCCGTTTTGTACTACGATTGAACGAAATATACGATACGCCTTAAAGTACTTACTCTTTACAAGTACACATACACGCACACACACACGCATGCGCACGTTACGAGCGTGCTGTTAAACATGATAATATTAAAAATATAATCCCATTAATTAACCTCCTGATTCTCGAGGTCTGTTCTTCTTTGCCGAACTGGCTGCACCGACTTATATTAGTTCTCCCCTCTTTTTTTCTACCAAGTCTTAACTACATATCTCGTTTTAAGTTCTATAAGTGTACATTAGTTCAGTGAAAAAGAACAGACCTTCGGTCAAACTGTCACTCGCCTGTGACGACGACGGTCGTACTTAGCACAAGGCATAGAATAGCACATAGCCAACTAACGTCGTAGAAAAGAAGCTTCATCCTATGTTCAGGATAAGAATGGAATTCCCAAAAATTGGTATCTTAGTGGGATATCCTATTCTAATACTTCGAGTGCACTAATCGTGATTTCTGCAGTGTATAAGAAAATTCGAGAAAATTTCTACTCGGGTATCACTGACACCAAACAACACTTGCTGGAAAAATGGCTCTCCCGACTCTGTCGCTTTATTTTTTACTTTTGTCGCGCGATTAAAGTTCGAAGCACGAAAAATTGCTTCCCTGATGCGAATGTCTCGCGACGCAAATGGTCACGGGACCGCTTGAATTTTCCAGAGATTTAATGCGAGGGAGGCGGGGGGAGCGTCTCCTCGGATGCCTCGTGGCGGCAACGCCGCGACATTATTACGCGTATCGACAGAGCTGACACGTTTGCGGGCGAAGAGTGTTAACAACTTCGAGACTGACGCTGCAGCGTCTCGATACCGCAGCCCTCCGTCGCGCCTCCTCGGCCGTTTGTCGCCGGGGGTAACTTCAGCAGCGAGAGACTCGATCCGACTTGGCGGAGCGCGAAATTTTCGCCACGTGCATTTCTTCCCTCGCTCTTAGACGGCTCTGTTAAGAGCGGTGCGGGTCGCTGCGCGCGTTGTCAAGCACGTCGGACCTTTGACCCAGACTCGTCCAGACGTTCCCTGCGAATGTTAATCGCGCTAACAACGGCCCAGACTGCGCTAATTAGGAAATAATTACGTCAATATCGCAGGCTTAAGAGGAGAAGATGCGTAATGCCCTCAATTTTCAAGTCCACCTTCCGCCCCCTCCACCCGCTTCCTCCCTTCTCCTCGTCCCCTCCGTGTAATTCTTTGCCTTCCGTTTCCCCAGAGCTTCTTTTTAATAGGTTGCATTAATTCCGCATCGTGGAGCATGCCGGCGCATCACATTGGCTTCATTCATCGCGCGAATTCGGCTTTTTACGGCCGCGCGTTTCATCAATCACATCGGCATATACCATCGGCGCGTTTTCTGCGAACGACGCATCTCCCCCCCTCCCCCTCACCGCGGAAAATTCAGCCTCCCGGTTTCGACGCTCTCGATTTTCCCTCCGAGCGGTGTCGCAATTTCGGTCGCGCCGCGAAACCCGCTTTCACGAACCGTATAATCAAACAGCGGCGCTCATATTTGCATCCGAATGGATACGCTCCAATTCTACATACCTCTGTACCACCCCCCTCATTTACATCTAATTTCATAACGTTATTTCAACGACCGCGAATGCCCGCGACCGCATACCGTTTCACACGAGGGATATCGAGCCGCGCGTATTTAACATTGCGTTGAAATTCCGAGAGATACGTGATTATCAAGCGAGCGTGTACCCGTTGCATCCGAGAGCGTGTCTCTCTCGAGGAGTACCTGCGACGTAACACGCGTCGCCCGTAAATACACCCAACCGATACTCCGCGTCGACATTGAATCTGTCTCGTCCGCGATCGCGCACGTCGAACGCGTCACGCGCGGTACAATTCCGCCGGCGGTTCCACGTATCCGAGGAAAGAAGCCAACGAGCGAACGGCCGGGCACGTTCCAGCTCGCCGCTCGCATTGTCGTAGAAACACGGCGAGCTTTCATAGAAAACCACCTCGGTAGACATCCCGATACCTTGCCTCGGGCGGTCGCCGCAGAACGACCTTCATCCTTCACCGATCTGCCCGCCGGCGAATCACCTCTCGCGAGTCGATTCCGACGGTTAGCCTCGGAAATCGTCTCACCACGTCGCCCACTCGACACTCGCGAACCACCGATGAGGTCAGCGCTCGATCCCTCCCTCTTCCCCCCTACGCTCGTTCACCTCATGCGCGCACCTCATCGAGCACTTTGATTTGTTCTCGGACGCGCCGCACGACGATTCGTTTCATCGCTGCTGTTGTTTTTTTTTTTTTGAGTTGCCGCTCCCTACCCTGTTCCTACTTTCTGTTACAGATCTCGTACGACGTACGACGTGCATCGTACGGTAGGGAACGCACGAGAGACGGCAGCGGAGCGACGAGGATGTAGCCCGCGAGGGTGGCTGCTGCTGCCTTTCGACGAGAAAGAGAGGGAGAGAGAAAGAAAGCGAGTTTATACGAGTTTGAAATCGACGATGATGACGCGCGCGGTACAGGGAAGAGGAATTGACCGAGGGAAGAGCAGAGCAGTCTAGAAGAGAGAGAAAGAGAGAGAGAGGTAGATAGATTAGAAGGAAAAGGAGAGAGAGAGAGAGAGGGACAGAGATCTCCTCCGCGAGGAGGGAATGCGCCGGATGTTATCGCGAGAGACGCCGAGACTGATAAAAACACTGCCAGGAGTAATGACGAGCTAGATCGCTCCGTCCGCTGAACCGTTCCGTCGATCTTAGCTTTCGCTCCACGCCAATCCTCCCCCTCCCGCGTCCCTGCTCACTCGCAGACACACACACACACACACCGTACGTTAACACGCGGCGTCCCTTCTACCAGCACGTACCCTCGAGATCAAAGACTGAAAATAAAAGGTGGCGACAAGCATGTTGGGCGTGAGTCAGCCGGGCAACACGCCCTCGAGCTTGCGGCATTCGGCGAGCTTCTCCTGCTTGCAACGCGGTACCGCCGGCGAGGGTCATCGTGCGAGGACCTCGACGTTGCTGCAGCAGCAGCAGCCGAGTCTGCAGCTGAGCGGCGGCGGTCATCATCAGTACACGTCCGGTCAGGGCGCGCACTCTCTGCTGCTGCAGCAGCATCAGTCTCCGGGCGGTGCTCGGGTGCATCGCGAGACGCTCGATCCCGTTCATCAGGACGGCAACGATTACGGCTTCGTGAGGATCCGGCCGCGATTGCGCAGCACGAACGCGACCTTGTACCACGAGGAAGAGGTGGCGAGCGCGAAGAGCGCGCTGCGCGACGCCGCGGCGTTCAGCGACCGGGAGTGCGACTCCTCCAACTTCAGGGACTGCACGCTGAAGGTCAAGGAGCGCGACCTCTCGCCGAAGGGGACCGGCAAGAATCAGAATCCGCTGCGCGGCGCGTTGATACTCTTCTCGACGTCCTCCTGGTGGAAGGCGCGCCAACGGGAGGAACAGCTGAACGGTGGTACCGTCGCGCCTTCCTCGGAGAGGAAGTGGTCGAGCACCTCGATGGCGTCGCCGTCGAACGAGAGAAAGTGGCAGCCCAGCTCGATGACGTCGCCCACCAACGAGCGGAAATGGTCCGTGGGTAACAGCCTGCTGACCTCACCGTCCAACGAGAGGAAGTGGACGAGATCGTCGGTGTCGTCGACGAGCCAGCAGGACCGGAAGTGGCGGTCGCTCGGCGCACTTCTGAGGACTCCCGGCAGCTCTCACGCCAGTCAGAACTGTTTGTCGCACAATATGAGCGTCTCGATGATCGAGGGTGAACACTTCCGCGAGGAGCCGCGCGGCAAGGCGCGTTACCAGCAGCCGACCTCGTACTCGGCGCGCGTCTCCAGAGTCAGTAGAGACGTCTACAGAGAGAGCACGGAGTTCGGCCAGGTCGGTAGGTCGAAGGTCAGTCGCAGGCTGTATCAGGACAGCGAGACGACCGATCGCGAGTTGGACGAGGGCCGGCACGCGCCTCGCAATCGGCATCAGCTGATCGACGATCCGGAGTGCAGGGGCAACAATCGCGAGGTCTGCAGACCGTCCGTCGCGGAGCAGACGGAAAGTCGCGGCACGACCGCCTCCACCAGGTCGAGCCGCGCCCAGAGCTTCTATCTGCTGGACGACTTCCTGCGGCCGCAGCCGCAAACGAGCGGCAAGTGCATGCTGAATCTCTATCTGTCGCCGGCCGCCGGCAAATCGGCCGGCAACAGCGCCGGTGAACAACAACACGGCAGGTCGTGCGAGGTGAGGCAGGCCTGCCAGGCGAACGTCAGCAACATCACGCCGCCGCGACGCCACAATTCGAGCTCGGACAGCCTCGAGGTAGCCACCAGTCCGCTGCCGCCGCCGGTGCCGCCGCCGCCGCCCCAGGCGAACGCCCAGAGGGAGCGTAATGAGAACCCGAAGGACAGTAAGGACGTGTGCCCGTGCAAGCTCTGCTGGACCAATATGCAGAGGTCCTTCGTGGAAGAGGTAAGTGGTGAGAGAAAGATGCGCACGATTCGCCCGGACGGCGCTCGTCCTCGCTGTCAGATTGATTGCTTCTCGATCGTAAGGAGAATAATTTTATTTTGCGTTTCCATCAAATCGCCTCTTTCCGTCACAACTGCGTAGCATTTTTTATAATACTCATTTACTTTCCATTGGCCTAAATTCGCATTCAGGATCATAATTATGCGACTAAAGTTCGAAGTTTCTGTTGTTTCCAAGTAAGCTACCTTATCTGCAGTCCCCGCTTCCAAACGTTACGATTTAAGATTGCACATTGCTCGTGGAAAGTTTCCCGTTGTCCGAGGGACATGGATTAAAGGTTCGAGAATTTCAAAACTCATTTTGTGTGACATCATTCGTCGACCGTAACGTTCTTCCGGTCGGTCTCGCGCTTTTCATCTACGACGCTCGGATCGATCGTCGAAATTCACGGCGTTGCACGTAAATCTTCAGGACTCGCGTTGCGTCCGCGATCGAGGGAAGATACGGCGCGTTGGTCAGCGCTGAATTCACACCGCGCGCGTGTGTGCGCACACCCGGGAGAAATCGAATAAGCGACGCGACGATCCGCGGCGCACGGAGTATCGGAGTTGGCTCGTTAGGTTTTATCGTAATCGTTATCCGTGATGTTTATTCGGCGAGTAACTTTCACCCCGTGGCGTGCGCCACGACTCCGATCACGCGAGGATAGACGCCCGGCGAGAGGAGGGCCTCGGCGGCGTGTCGCGTTCGAGGTGCCGGCCGCCGCGAAAAAGGATCCGGCGACCCAGCAGTCGTCGTCCAAGCTGCCTCCTCCGCCACGACGACTATTAACTCGCCTTTAACCCGTTCCGCGCAGTTTGCCGCGCCGAAACGAGCGATCGCCGCCTCCGTTAGAATTCCGCTTTACGGCCGTTTGCGCGATCGGTAGCGCGCGATTCGATAGAGGACGACGACGACGAACTCCCGCTTCGTGGAACGCGCCACGATTACCGGTCAGCCGGTTGGAGAAAGACCGACGAAAAGATCTGTCGACCTATGCCGACGACGACGGGAGGTCAATACCGAATGGTCGCTTCGTGAAGCGACGTTTATTGGCCTTGCGTAAGTTAATCTTTCCGTAAATTGCGTAAATCGATTTTTCGTCGGCCCTGAGAAACTCTCTCTCTCTCTCTCTCGCTCATACGAGCTTCTATTTACATATATAAATAATATTATACCGGATCTTGTTGACCGTGTTACTTATTAGTTCCAATCAAGGTTTCTCGAGAAATCCCGAGTCTTTCAGCTCGAGCGGATCGACGGGAGGTCGTTCGTCACGACGTTAAATTTGTCACGTTATTCCGCTCTCAGCGTCCCGCACGGTGAACTAAGTCGACTAGATCGCGATTATCACTCCGATCTCCGATCAAGCTCTGTCATCCTTCTCGTGCAAAAGGCGACGTCGCATCGGTGCTCCTTGCATACGCGGGAAATTCGCGTCGCCGGCGGAGTTACACAGTGGTGACAGGTGGGACAGACGAACGCGAAGAGACCGCGTGTATTCCTCGGCAGCGGGGTGGGGTTGCTCGAATGCGCGCGGTTTCGAGCGTAATATACGTCACCCGGCAGAAATAGAATACGCGATTTTTCATTGAGACCGCGCCGCTCGATCGGCCACGTGCGATACACCGGACGCGCGAGATGCAATTCCGTTTGACTCAATCGGGCCCGAGAGGACGCTGCGCGAACGCCGGCGACATTGGAGTCCCCGTAACGAGAGTCCGGATCCCGTGTGTCTGATTTCTTATTGGTTCCGCCGGGGTTTAGCTTCCGGATGCGTCAAAGATTGCTTCCCAACAAGCCGACACAAGTTTAATTACATCCAGTCCTCGACTTTGGTTGCTTTCCAACGAGAGACGCGGCTGATGCTGAATGACAACACGAGCGAAGATTCGCCATCTACGAAATCTACGAAGTGTATTGAGAGAATAGTGAGTTCGTGTGCTTCACATCGTGATCAATTACTCATTTCTTTCCGTCTTTGTCTATTTTCATTCAGATCTCCGATGAAAGTGCTCGGTCTGTTCTACGTGTCTACAGTCCACTCTTATTACTGAGAGACTAGGCGCGCGTGGTAACAGTATTCCGAGACGCCGTCGTTCCGGACGAGCCCGCAGACGGGCGACTTCCGTGCGTACGGTAATCGATAGCTCGGTGTATCCTCTCCTGCGAGCCGTAATGCGGATCGCGATACCGTCCGCAGAGGCGGTCGATATCGACCCTTTGACCTGCGCGCTTGCTCGCTCGCTTGGGCACGTTTCTCTGTTTGCTCGATCGAATCCGCACAAATATACCTACCCTCATGCGCGGGGGGGGGG